GATAGGCAGCTCTCCTTTTCCTGCTCAGCAGAGCCGCGTCTGTGTTCTCACAGCCTCGAGGGCTCTGCCGGGCGGCCGCTTGCCTGCTGTGCCCGTAAGGGCCCGCGGCACCCACCAGGAGAGGGTGCCCCGGGGCGGGCAGGGAGGCGAAGGGAGCGTGGAGCTTCAGGACTGCGGGGCAAGGCCCTGCCTGTGCACCACAGGAGCCCCAGCAAGTTGCTTGGCTCACGGCTGCGCCGCACCATCGGCCGCGATGGTGATGGAACTTGGATGTCAGAGCAGCTGTGGTGGCCAGCGTGTGGGAGCCACCACTGCCACGGCAGCTACACTGTGGCAGGCCCCCACCGCAGGCCCCCGGCCCAGGAGAGGGGATGGTGACAGAGGTGTGCCAGCACTGCCCGTGCTGTGTCTCGGTGAGGTGGCTTGGGTGCAGCAAGTATTGGGAGTGGAGGAGAGCTGGCTCATGCTGCGCTGGTTCTCTTCAATTTCAGGTTAGGGCAGGTGGAGATGAGCTGTCAGGTTACGTGCAGTTAATTTAGGAGATTTGGACCATGTCTGGTTTCACCAGCTGTGTTATCAATACACAGTTCAGATTAAAGCTGGGTGCCTGCCTCAGCCGCCTCACAACAAGGGCACAGAACAACAGTGAATGGCTTTTATGCCTCTACAGCTCTCCTTGTGAGGAGGGAGGAATACAGCTGGTGTGTTGGTGCTGGGAGATACTGCTGGCTGCAATAATAGATTCTTGCAAGCCAACCAGAGAAGCTACTGCAAAGCTTAGGGCTTAGGGAGGTATTGCATGCTTAAAGGAGCTAGATGCTGAAGGTTTGGTAAATTGCTAGTAGTCATTAAATCTGCTTAATGTCCATTGGTTTAGGATTGAGCCCAATAATCTTATTTGTTGCTTATCTGTATTGTTTTGTACCTGTAATAAGTCTGGCTTTTCCTAAGGATTCCATTCACAGTTCTAAGGATAATACCTGAATTCACTTGAGTGAGGCGAGGGTTGGGTTGAGGTAGAAAACTGCTAGGAATACAACAGTCCAAAATGTGACTTTGTCAAACTTCTGTGTGGAAGAGCCTGTGGTAGGGCAGGCTGGTGAGGTGGGCTTACCTGCCTCTGCCTGCTTAGGACAGGCACCTGCATGCTGTCCTTGCAGCATCCGCCGTGCTCTCAACTGGCTGGTGCTGAGTTTCGTGGGGAGTTTCTTTGTTTGTTTTTTTGTTTTGTTTTTGGTGGGGTTTTTTAGATGAATGTTGCCTGGTGGTGTTTGTACTGACTGCTGCTTAATGCTTCTTTTGGGTAAGGACTGGGACTTCTCATCTTCTGGTGTCTTTTCTGGGCTGAAGATTGACCCTGATACACTAGTGAAGAAGCTCGACTTGGACTCCAGAAGCATCGTTTCCTCCAGAACAGGTTTGTTGTTGTATTTTGCACAAGTGCTGTGTTAGGTTGTGAGCAAAGACGCTCAGGACCGTATTTGCAGTGGCTAGCAGAGCAAGCCCAGGAGAATTGAACCTAAACACAGCTTCCTGTGGTGCTGCAAGGGCTTTTAAAAGTGGTTTCTGTTTGGGGTTGGAGGAGGTAGAAAGACATGTAGGTGCTTAGTCCTCCCTTGATGAGGAATTAATTTTGGGCTGTTGGGCCATGCCTTGCAGTTGAGCCCCTCACCTGCGGGATGTCCTTATGGATGTGGGGCGGCCTCATGTGACCAAGGGCTCCTGTCCCCTGGCGGCTCAGGGCACAGCATTGCTGCGACCTGATCTCTGGGCTGCTTCTGCAGCTGCCTCTGGTTCGTGAGCAGCTGCCATTCACATCCCAATATTTTATCAGCAAATTGCTTGTTGTGCTCAAGAGTGCTTTACCCACGGCAGCCTGGTTGCAGCCAGTTCTGTCCTCCTTTGTGATTGCCAGCTCCTTGGTTCAAGGACTTGTGGGCAGGAGAGTCCAGCTCACCAGGGAGTAAGGGAGGGTGAGAGTGGGAAGGAGGAGATGATAGAGGTACTTATTTTCTAGTCCCACAACAAGGAAATGCTCTTTTAATTGCTTAGTAGCAGGCAGAACTTTGTGTCTGAAATTAGATTTTGTTTCTCTAAAGGGAAACTGATGGCACCGCAATCTGCCCTGGTGCAAACAAAACCAATTTCTCCTCTCCATGCAGATTAATACTGCCACATTGACTTTGTTTTCATGTCCAGGGCTACAAACCCAGTAACCAGCCAGGGGCAGTTACCCGAGCAGTGGTGAGCTGCAGCAGCCATAGCCCACTGGTCACATTATTTGGTCACGGAGTGAGGGAATTGGAAGGTTGTGCAAAGAAGGCACGTTTGCTGGAGATGCTTGCTCTCTGCACAGAAACCTTTGTGAAATGTGTTGTTCTCAAAACACTAAGCTCATTGTTCCTAACTCTCCTGGGAAAAGGACATTTGTGCATGTGTGTGCGCATGTGAACGTAGCAATCTCCTTAATTAAATTAGACAGCATGTTGTTGAAGGCTGACAGCCCAGTCTTTCATTGCAGGCTACAGCTGTACATGTCTGCTATATAAATAGACCTGTGCTGCTGGTTCCTGTGCGGTGCTAATGATGCAGATGTGCACTGCCTGACTATGTTTAACCCTCTCTCGAGGCTGCGTGCAGGCTTCCTGCAGACGGTGATGCTGACCCCAACGCTTTGTGCTTCCTTGCACTTGCCAGATGCTGCTAGCTAAAAATAGTTGCTCATTTGGGGACTCAAAACTGCAACTTGTCGAGGCAAAAAGTGGTTTGATTTTTTTTAAAAAAAATCTTCACGAGCTGCTGTGCCCTTTCTTCTTGTATCACTGGAGCCCTGTGGAAGCTTTTTCATTATGGGAATCAATTCATTGTGTTAATTCACTGAACTGTAACTAGGCTGTGCATACAATGGCAGACACCCTGGAATTTGAAAAGGGATTCTAGGCAGACATTGCTTTGTCTCCTAGGGTCTCTGGTCAGCTGAGAGCCTGTTCATCAGGAAATTCAACTTAACTCCAACCCTCCTGCCTCCCTTTCTTCCCTTCCCCCCTTAGCTCAGTGCACAGGGCAGGAGGGTAGGGTTCTCCTACACATTGTTATTTTAAGACTTAATAGCAAGACAAAAAAGTGTTTCTCTCCCACTTGCTTTCAAGCTCTGAGAAGGTCAAGTTGGCAGACTGTAGGTAGGCTTACTCTCTCTCTCCTGCGCTTTTCACAGCTGAAGAAGATTTTTTTTTTCTGTCGAGGATGCTATGTGGCAGTTGAGACAGCTGGTACATTTGTCCTCCCTCTGTGTGTTCGTGCATGCATGCCATTGCCTAAGATTGCTTCACATTATCTGAAATTGCTGGTATCTTTGTGTTTTGTGTTAGGATCTGGCCTTGTGCTGTGACACCTTAGGGATAGCCATGAAGACTTCAGTGTGGACTTAGAAAGGGCTGCAGAGCATGAGTGAAACAAGGGAGTTGTTACAGGGTTTGGACCTGGCAGAAAACACTGCTGGGTTACCAAGCTCATCTGGCAGCTACTGTTTTTTTGCTCTGTTCTCTCTTCCCTAAACCCTACATCCCTCTGCTTTGGAAGGTGTAATTCCCAGAAGGCCTTCATCTCACTCCATGGCTGCACTTCCATGGCACTGCAGCTTCGTGGAAGGTACCTGCATAATAAGTTTCTAGGTAAAACATTTGACCTTCCTACTGCTATTCTGCCTCTGTTCCTTTCTTCACCTGCGCTTTCACACTTTGCTTGAACTGGAGGATCCAACTTTTGTCTTGACAGAGCCCAAACACCATGGCTGTGTGAGCGGGAGTTCTCTCTGCTAATTCTAAAGCTTTCAGATGTGGAAGTGGCCCAGAGGAATGTGCAGGGTTGAGAGGTTGCTTGTTGCTGGAAAAGTAAGGCAGAATTGGTGGTGATGTTGGCTTGTGGCTCCATCTGTCAGCACACTGCTTCGCTGTTTAAGAGAGGAAAGTGTCTGGCTGAATCAGCAGAAGAGGCCTGGAAAGCCTGGTCTCCTCAGAGCGTCTTGTATGGACAGCGGTTACGCCCAGAACAGTTTGAGGTGATGGTGTAGGGGAACAGGCAGCCAGGCCTGCTCCTGGAAGACTTGGAGGATTGTGGAGTTCCTTCTCTGTCTTGTCTCTTTGTCCTTCTCTAGCTGGGCTGAGTAAGGGACTATGATGGTGCATCTTTAGCTGTGTAGTTCTCTGGGGTTCCTTGGCCTGCTTCTCTGCCTTCTATGCCTAGGGTGACTTCCTGGCTCCCCACTTCCTCTCTCTGTCCTCTGCATATTTGATGCGTTTGTGTGGTTCCTTCCTCTTGCTCACATGACTTGGACAGTCAGGACAGCTTTTGCTGAAGTTCTTTGTTCCACTGTGAAGGTGTATGTTCTCATGACAAAATATTCTGCTTCATTTTCTCTGGAGAAGATGAGGTGACTCCTGATTCCTGTCATCTTTTTCTTCTAACACCAGGAGTTTAGAGAAGAAAATGAGGACTGTTAGTCCAGCAGCTGGAGGAGGCATATTTTCACTCCACTGTTACATTCCTGTGTCTGCTGTGAGCTCAGTGTGCCCTACTGTATCCCAATTCTTCTGACTGCCTTAGAGGTGATGGAGAGCTGAAGGAGAAGCTGCAGAGAAAGGCAAGTGCGAGGAGATGTGCAAGTGTGGGCCTTGGGTGCAGTGGGGAAAAAGGCTGCCTGAACTGTGGGGCGCTAACAAAGAGAGTCAGGGCAGCTTGGACAGGAGGCAGAGAGGTCACATTTTGATTCCACTGAATTATTTGGAGTATCTGTAGAATCAGCTGGTAGTGGCAAATGTAAAATCTGTTGTGCACTGAATTTTCACACTGTGCTTCGTTCTATAGATCTGGTCCCTTGCCTTTAAAATCTAGCCTTAGGAAGAGATTGGAATTGGGTTACATTTTAGAAGTTGTCAACTTGGAACTCAGCAGTGGTCAAGAAAGCAAATTTACTGTTAGGAAGTAGGAGGAAAAGAGAATGACCTGGAGAGCATTGTTATGCTCCATAAATAGATATGTGATACGTACAGCTGTTTGATGTTATGTGTGGCCTTGATCCTCTCATCTCACAAAAGATGTAGCAGACCAGCAAAGATTCAGAGAAGGGCAGCAAGGCTGCTCAGAGGCCTCGCATGCCCATTTAGTTATTCCTAATTCAAAAGCCCCAGGCTCTTCAGTTGGGGAAAGACAGGGATGCAGCTGTCTGCTGGCTCTTTCACTACAAACCTGGAAGAAGCAATGGCAATAGGAGGTGGTACACACGCACCCGACAAGACATTTTGTGTCTCACATGGCAAATTCAGCTCTGGGTTCTGTGTCTGTTGTTGAGGATTAGGGCTGGGCTGGCCACTGAATGCCAACAGATGCTCTCTAACCCCTCTGCCTCCCTACTGGCAAGGGAAAGGAATGAGGCAGAGCGACTTACGGATTGGAAGAGAAAAGGAAACAGCTTTACTAGTACTAATAAAAAACTATACATGTATATGCAAACCCGATATCAAACCCAACTCCCTCCCTAATAGCAATCACCACTGATGCCGCAGAGCAGGTACCAGGGAAGCCCCAGGCTCAGTGACAGAGGGGAGGTGGATTCGAGATCAAGGGCAGAAGATCAGGCAGAGTCCTCCTTGGGTGCCAGCTGTTCAAGAAGAGGGCCTGACCTCTGTGATCCCTCATCTTTATACTGGAAATGATGTATATGGATGGAATACTCCTGTCGGTCACCTGTCCTGTCTGCTCCTTTCTGGAGGTGCAACATTTTACTTTGTTGTGACCCTTTTACTTCTTCCCAACACCCCCAGTGTGACACACAAGATCCAGCAGTGACCTTGGTCACTACAGGAGCCAGCATAAGCAAGAGCCTTTCTGCAAACCAGTCCCAGGCAGTAATCAGGTGTTATCACTGCCAGTAGCAGATACGGTCGGCAGAAACAGGCTGCTAACTTCAGAAAGTGCAATCTGTCAGAGGAGGCTGAGCCGAAGAGTAAAATTACTAAACAGAATTGGTTCTGTTTGGCTCAAACCAGGACATCTGTGTATGGTGTGAGTGCTGGAGACTTCTATGGGTTTAGAAAGGGGCTGCGCAGATTGATGGAGGGGGTTATGAAGGTTTCTTACTGTGAGGACTCGTGTAGTTTGGGATGTGCAGGTAGAGTGTGGTGGTTCTGCTTTTGCTGGATATAGGTAGAAAAAGGGAGGGATATTGAGGCCTGGTAGTGGCTTGCAGTGGTACAACAGCACTGGAGACAGGCTCCCCGTGCCCCTGGGTAGTGACCCTAAGTCCAATGAGGTGTCTGAGAGCAGCACAGAGAGGCGGCTGGGAGGCTGTTCGGCGGCTCAGGCTACCGGATTGTGCAGAGAGGGGACATGGGCTGCCACCAGAGCAGTGCAGGACAGCTG